CCATGCATTCATTCATGCATGTGCCGCCATGCGTTCATCATGTGCCCGTGCCATGCATTCATTCATGCATGTGCCGCCATGCGTTCATCATGTGCCCGTGCCATGCATTCATTCATGCATGTGCCGCCATGCGTTCATCATGTGCCCGTGCCATGCATTCATTCATGCATGTGCCGCCATGCGTTCATCATGTGCCCGTGCCATGCATTCATTCATGCATGTGCCGCCATGCGTTCATCATGTGCCCGTGCCATGCATTCATTCATGCATGTGCCGCCATGCGTTCATCATGTGCCCGTGCCATGCATTCATTCATGCATGTGCCGCCATGCGTTCATCATGTGCCCGTGCCATGCATTCATTCATGCATGTGCCGCCATGCGTTCATCATGTGCCCGTGCCATGCATTCATTCATGCATGTGCCGCCATGCGTTCATCATGTGCCCGTGCCATGCATTCATTCATGCATGTGCCGCCATGCGTTCATCATGTGCCCGTGCCATGCATTCATTCATGCATGTGCCGCCATGCGTTCATCATGTGCCCGTGCCATGCATTCATTCATGCATGTGCCGCCATGCGTTCATCATGTGCCCGTGCCATGCATTCATTCATGCATGTGCCGCCATGCGTTCATCATGTGCCCGTGCCATGCATTCATTCATGCATGTGCCGCCATGCGTTCATCATGTGCCCGTGCCATGCATTCATTCATGCATGTGCCGCCATGCGTTCATCATGTGCCCGTGCCATGCATTCATTCATGCATGTGCCGCCATGCGTTCATCATGTGCCCGTGCCATGCATTCATTCATGCATGTGCCGCCATGCGTTCATCATGTGCCCGTGCCATGCATTCATTCATGCATGTGCCGCCATGCGTTCATCATGTGCCCGTGCCATGCATTCATTCATGCATGTGCCGCCATGCGTTCATCATGTGCCCGTGCCATGCATTCATTCATGCATGTGCCGCCATGCGTTCATCATGTGCCCGTGCCATGCATTCATTCATGCATGTGCCGCCATGCGTTCATCATGTGCCCGTGCCATGCATTCATTCATGCATGTGCCGCCATGCGTTCATCATGTGCCCGTGCCATGCATTCATTCATGCATGTGCCGCCATGCGTTCATCATGTGCCCGTGCCATGCATTCATTCATGCATGTGCCGCCATGCGTTCATCATGTGCCCGTGCCATGCATTCATTCATGCATGTGCCGCCATGCGTTCATCATGTGCCCGTGCCATGCATTCATTCATGCATGTGCCGCCATGCGTTCATCATGTGCCCGTGCCATGCATTCATTCATGCATGTGCCGCCATGCGTTCATCATGTGCCCGTGCCATGCATTCATTCATGCATGTGCCGCCATGCGTTCATCATGTGCCCGTGCCATGCATTCATTCATGCATGTGCCGCCATGCGTTCATCATGTGCCCGTGCCATGCATTCATTCATGCATGTGCCGCCATGCGTTCATCATGTGCCCGTGCCATGCATTCATTCATGCATGTGCCGCCATGCGTTCATCATGTGCCCGTGCCATGCATTCATTCATGCATGTGCCGCCATGCGTTCATCATGTGCCCGTGCCATGCATTCATTCATGCATGTGCCGCCATGCGTTCATCATGTGCCCGTGCCATGCATTCATTCATGCATGTGCCGCCATGCGTTCATCATGTGCCCGTGCCATGCATTCATTCATGCATGTGCCGCCATGCGTTCATCATGTGCCCGTGCCATGCATTCATTCATGCATGTGCCGCCATGCGTTCATCATGTGCCCGTGCCATGCATTCATTCATGCATGTGCCGCCATGCGTTCATCATGTGCCCGTGCCATGCATTCATTCATGCATGTGCCGCCATGCGTTCATCATGTGCCCGTGCCATGCATTCATTCATGCATGTGCCGCCATGCGTTCATCATGTGCCCGTGCCATGCATTCATTCATGCATGTGCCGCCATGCGTTCATCATGTGCCCGTGCCATGCATTCATTCATGCATGTGCCGCCATGCGTTCATCATGTGCCCGTGCCATGCATTCATTCATGCATGTGCCGCCATGCGTTCATCATGTGCCCGTGCCATGCATTCATTCATGCATGTGCCGCCATGCGTTCATCATGTGCCCGTGCCATGCATTCATTCATGCATGTGCCGCCATGCGTTCATCATGTGCCCGTGCCATGCATTCATTCATGCATGTGCCGCCATGCGTTCATCATGTGCCCGTGCCATGCATTCATTCATGCATGTGCCGCCATGCGTTCATCATGTGCCCGTGCCATGCATTCATTCATGCATGTGCCGCCATGCGTTCATCATGTGCCCGTGCCATGCATTCATTCATGCATGTGCCGCCATGCGTTCATCATGTGCCCGTGCCATGCATTCATTCATGCATGTGCCGCCATGCGTTCATCATGTGCCCGTGCCATGCATTCATTCATGCATGTGCCGCCATGCGTTCATCATGTGCCCGTGCCATGCATTCATTCATGCATGTGCCGCCATGCGTTCATCATGTGCCCGTGCCATGCATTCATTCATGCATGTGCCGCCATGCGTTCATCATGTGCCCGTGCCATGCATTCATTCATGCATGTGCCGCCATGCGTTCATCATGTGCCCGTGCCATGCATTCATTCATGCATGTGCCGCCATGCGTTCATCATGTGCCCGTGCCATGCATTCACTCATGCATGTGCCGCCATGCGTTCATCATGTGCCCGTGCCATGCATTCACTCATGCATGTGCCGCCATGCGTTCATCATGTGCCCGTGCCATGCATTCACTCATGCATGTGCCGCCATGCGTTCATCATGTGCCCGTGCCATGCATTCATTCATGCATGTGCCGCCATGCGTTCATCATGTGCCCGTGCCATGCATTCATTCATGCATGTGCCGCCATGCGTTCATCATGTGCCCGTGCCATGCATTCATTCATGCATGTGCCGCCATGCGTTCATCATGTGCCCGTGCCATGCATTCATTCATGCATGTGCCGCCATGCGTTCATCATGTGCCCGTGCCATGCATTCATTCATGCATGTGCCGCCATGCGTTCATCATGTGCCCGTGCCATGCATTCATTCATGCATGTGCCGCCATGCGTTCATCATGTGCCCGTGCCATGCATTCACTCATGCATGTGCCGCCATGCGTTCATCATGTGCCCGTGCCATGCATTCATTCATGCATGTGCCGCCATGCGTTCATCATGTGCCCGTGCCATGCATTCATTCATGCATGTGCCGCCATGCGTTCATCATGTGCCCGTGCCATGCATTCATTCATGCATGTGCCGCCATGCGTTCATCATGTGCCCGTGCCATGCATTCATTCATGCATGTGCCGCCATGCGTTCATCATGTGCCCGTGCCATGCATTCATTCATGCATGTGCCGCCATGCGTTCATCATGTGCCGCCATGCGTTCATCATGTGCCGCCATGCGTTCATCATGTGCCGCCATGCGTTCATCATGTGCCGCCATGCGTTCATCATGTGCCGCCATGCGTTCATCATGTGCCGCCATGCGTTCATCATGTGCCGCCATGCGTTCATCATGTGCCCGTGCCATGCATTCATTCATGCATGTGCCGCCATGCGTTCATCATGTGCCGCCATGCGTTCTTCATGTGCCGCCATGCGTTCATCATGTGCCGCCATGCGTTCATCATGTGCCGCCATGCGTTCATCATGTGCCGCCATGCGTTCATCATGTGCCGCCATGCGTTCATCATGTGCCGCCATGCGTTCATCATGTGCCGCCATGCGTTCATCATGTGCCGCCATGCGTTCATCATGTGCCGCCATGCGTTCATCATGTGCCGCCATGCGTTCATCATGTGCCGCCATGCGTTCATCATGTGCCGCCATGCGTTCATCATGTGCCGCCATGCGTTCATCATGTGCCGCCATGCGTTCATCATGTGCCGCCATGCGTTCATCATGTGCCGCCATGCGTTCATCATGTGCCGCCATGCGTTCATCATGTGCCGCCATGCGTTCATCATGTGCCGCCATGCGTTCATCATGTGCCGCCATGCGTTCATCATGTGCCGCCATGCGTTCATCATGTGCCGCCATGCGTTCATCATGTGCCGCCATGCGTTCATCATGTGCCGCCATGCGTTCATCATGTGCCGCCATGCGTTCATCATGTGCCGCCATGCGTTCATCATGTGCCGCCATGCGTTCATCATGTGCCGCCATGCGTTCATCATGTGCCGCCATGCGTTCATCATGTGCCGCCATGCGTTCATCATGTGCCGCCATGCGTTCATCATGTGCCGCCATGCGTTCATCATGTGCCGCCATGCGTTCATCATGTGCCGCCATGCGTTCATCATGTGCCGCCATGCGTTCATCATGTGCCGCCATGCGTTCATCATGTGCCGCCATGCGTTCATCATGTGCCGCCATGCGTTCATCATGTGCCGCCATGCGTTCATCATGTGCCGCCATGCGTTCATCATGTGCCGCCATGCGTTCATCATGTGCCGCCATGCGTTCATCATGTGCCGCCATGCGTTCATCATGTGCCGCCATGCGTTCATCATGTGCCGCCATGCGTTCATCATGTGCCGCCATGCGTTCATCATGTGCCGCCATGCGTTCATCATGTGCCGCCATGCGTTCATCATGTGCCGCCATGCGTTCATCATGTGCCGCCATGCGTTCATCATGTGCCGCCATGCGTTCATCATGTGCCGCCATGCGTTCATCATGTGCCGCCATGCGTTCATCATGTGCCGCCATGCGTTCATCATGTGCCGCCATGCGTTCATCATGTGCCGCCATGCGTTCATCATGTGCCGCCATGCGTTCATCATGTGCCGCCATGCGTTCATCATGTGCCGCCATGCGTTCATCATGTGCCGCCATGCGTTCATCATGTGCCGCCATGCGTTCATCATGTGCCGCCATGCGTTCATCATGTGCCGCCATGCGTTCATCATGTGCCGCCATGCTTCATCATGTGCCGCCATGCGTTCATCATGTGCCGCCATGCGTTCATCATGTGCCGCCATGCGTTCATCATGTGCCGCCATGCGTTCATCATGTGCCGCCATGCGTTCATCATGTGCCGCCATGCGTTCATCATGTGCCGCCATGCGTTCATCATGTGCCGCCATGCGTTCATCATGTGCCGCCATGCGTTCATCATGTGCCGCCATGCGTTCATCATGTGCCGCCATGCGTTCATCATGTGCCGCCATGCGTTCATCATGTGCCGCCATGCGTATCATCATGTGCCGCCATGCGTTCATCATGTGCCGCCATGCGTCATCATGTGCCGCCATGCGTTCATCATGTGCCGCCATGCGTTCATCATGTGCCGCCATGCGTTCATCATGTGCCGCCATGCGTTCATCATGTGCCGCCATGCGTTCATCATGTGCCGCCATGCGTTCATCATGTGCCGCCATGCGTTCATCATGTGCCGCCATGCGTTCATCATGTGCCGCCATGCGTTCATCATGTGCCGCCATGCGTTCATCATGTGCCGCCATGCGTTCATCATGTGCCGCCATGCGTTCATCATGTGCCGCCATGCGTTCATCATGTGCCGCCATGCGTTCATCATGTGCCGCCATGCGTTCATCATGTGCCGCCATGCGTTCATCATGTGCCGCCATGCGTTCATCATGTGCCGCCATGCGTTCATCATGTGCCGCCATGCGTTCATCATGTGCCGCCATGCGTTCATCATGTGCCGCCATGCGTTCATCATGTGCCGCCATGCGTTCATCATGTGCCGCCATGCGTTCATCATGTGCCGCCATGCGTTCATCATGTGCCGCCATGCGTTCATCATGTGCCGCCATGCGTTCATCATGTGCCGCCATGCGTTCATCATGTGCCGCCATGCGTTCATCATGTGCCGCCATGCGTTCATCATGTGCCGCCATGCGTTCATCATGTGCCGCCATGCGTTCATCATGTGCCGCCATGCGTTCATCATGTGCCGCCATGCGTTCATCATGTGCCGCCATGCGTTCATCATGTGCCGCCATGCGTTCATCATGTGCCGCCATGCGTTCATCATGTGCCGCCATGCGTTCATCATGTGCCGCCATGCGTTCATCATGTGCCGCCATGCGTTCATCATGTGCCGCCATGCGTTCATCATGTGCCGCCATGCGTTCATCATGTGCCGCCATGCGTTCATCATGTGCCGCCATGCGTTCATCATGTGCCGCCATGCGTTCATCATGTGCCGCCATGCGTTCATCATGTGCCGCCATGCGTTCATCATGTGCCGCCATGCGTTCATCATGTGCCGCCATGCGTTCATCATGTGCCGCCATGCGTTCATCATGTGCCGCCATGCGTTCATCATGTGCCGCCATGCGTTCATCATGTGCCGCCATGCGTTCATCATGTGCCGCCATGCGTTCATCATGTGCCGCCATGCGTTCATCATGTGCCGCCATGCGTTCATCATGTGCCGCCATGCGTTCATCATGTGCCGCCATGCGTTCATCATGTGCCGCCATGCGTTCATCATGTGCCGCCATGCGTTCATCATGTGCCGCCATGCGTTCATCATGTGCCGCCATGCGTTCATCATGTGCCGCCATGCGTTCATCATGTGCCGCCATGCGTTCATCATGTGCCGCCATGCGTTCATCATGTGCCGCCATGCGTTCATCATGTGCCGCCATGCGTTCATCATGTGCCGCCATGCGTTCATCATGTGCCGCCATGCGTTCATCATGTGCCGCCATGCGTTCATCATGTGCCGCCATGCGTTCATCATGTGCCGCCATGCGTTCATCATGTGCCGCCATGCGTTCATCATGTGCCGCCATGCGTTCATCATGTGCCGCCATGCGTTCATCATGTGCCGCCATGCGTTCATCATGTGCCGCCATGCGTTCATCATGTGCCGCCATGCGTTCATCATGTGCCGCCATGCGTTCATCATGTGCCGCCATGCGTTCATCATGTGCCGCCATGCGTTCATCATGTGCCGCCATGCGTTCATCATGTGCCGCCATGCGTTCATCATGTGCCGCCATGCGTTCATCATGTGCCGCCATGCGTTCATCATGTGCCGCCATGCGTTCATCATGTGCCGCCATGCGTTCATCATGTGCCGCCATGCGTTCATCATGTGCCGCCATGCGTTCATCATGTGCCGCCATGCGTTCATCATGTGCCGCCATGCGTTCATCATGTGCCGCCATGCGTTCATCATGTGCCGCCATGCGTTCATCATGTGCCGCCATGCGTTCATCATGTGCCGCCATGCGTTCATCATGTGCCGCCATGCGTTCATCATGTGCCGCCATGCGTTCATCATGTGCCGCCATGCGTTCATCATGTGCCGCCATGCGTTCATCATGTGCCGCCATGCGTTCATCATGTGCCGCCATGCGTTCATCATGTGCCGCCATGCGTTCATCATGTGCCGCCATGCGTTCATCATGTGCCGCCATGCGTTCATCATGTGCCGCCATGCGTTCATCATGTGCCGCCATGCGTTCATCATGTGCCGCCATGCGTTCATCATGTGCCGCCATGCGTTCATCATGTGCCGCCATGCGTTCATCATGTGCCGCCATGCGTTCATCATGTGCCGCCATGCGTTCATCATGTGCCGCCATGCGTTCATCATGTGCCGCCATGCGTTCATCATGTGCCGCCATGCGTTCATCATGTGCCGCCATGCGTTCATCATGTGCCGCCATGCGTTCATCATGTGCCGCCATGCGTTCATCATGTGCCGCCATGCGTTCATCATGTGCCGCCATGCGTTCATCATGTGCCGCCATGCGTTCATCATGTGCCGCCATGCGTTCATCATGTGCCGCCATGCGTTCATCATGTGCCGCCATGCGTTCATCATGTGCCGCCATGCGTTCATCATGTGCCGCCATGCGTTCATCATGTGCCGCCATGCGTTCATCATGTGCCGCCATGCGTTCATCATGTGCCGCCATGCGTTCATCATGTGCCGCCATGCGTTCATCATGTGCCGCCATGCGTTCATCATGTGCCGCCATGCGTTCATCATGTGCCGCCATGCGTTCATCATGTGCCGCCATGCGTTCATCATGTGCCGCCATGCGTTCATCATGTGCCGCCATGCGTTCATCATGTGCCGCCATGCGTTCATCATGTGCCGCCATGCGTTCATCATGTGCCGCCATGCGTTCATCATGTGCCGCCATGCGTTCATCATGTGCCGCCATGCGTTCATCATGTGCCGCCATGCGTTCATCATGTGCCGCCATGCGTTCATCATGTGCCGCCATGCGTTCATCATGTGCCGCCATGCGTTCATCATGTGCCGCCATGCGTTCATCATGTGCCGCCATGCGTTCATCATGTGCCGCCATGCGTTCATCATGTGCCGCCATGCGTTCATCATGTGCCGCCATGCGTTCATCATGTGCCGCCATGCGTTCATCATGTGCCGCCATGCGTTCATCATGTGCCGCCATGCGTTCATCATGTGCCGCCATGCGTTCATCATGTGCCGCCATGCGTTCATCATGTGCCGCCATGCGTTCATCATGTGCCGCCATGCGTTCATCATGTGCCGCCATGCGTTCATCATGTGCCGCCATGCGTTCATCATGTGCCGCCATGCGTTCATCATGTGCCGCCATGCGTTCATCATGTGCCGCCATGCGTTCATCATGTGCCGCCATGCGTTCATCATGTGCCGCCATGCGTTCATCATGTGCCGCCATGCGTTCATCATGTGCCGCCATGCGTTCATCATGTGCCGCCATGCGTTCATCATGTGCCGCCATGCGTTCATCATGTGCCGCCATGCGTTCATCATGTGCCGCCATGCGTTCATCATGTGCCGCCATGCGTTCATCATGTGCCGCCATGCGTTCATCATGTGCCGCCATGCGTTCATCATGTGCCGCCATGCGTTCATCATGTGCCGCCATGCGTTCATCATGTGCCGCCATGCGTTCATCATGTGCCGCCATGCGTTCATCATGTGCCGCCATGCGTTCATCATGTGCCGCCATGCGTTCATCATGTGCCGCCATGCGTTCATCATGTGCCGCCATGCGTTCATCATGTGCCGCCATGCGTTCATCATGTGCCGCCATGCGTTCATCATGTGCCGCCATGCGTTCATCATGTGCCGCCATGCGTTCATCATGTGCCGCCATGCGTTCATCATGTGCCGCCATGCGTTCATCATGTGCCGCCATGCGTTCATCATGTGCCGCCATGCGTTCATCATGTGCCGCCATGCGTTCATCATGTGCCGCCATGCGTTCATCATGTGCCGCCATGCGTTCATCATGTGCCGCCATGCGTTCATCATGTGCCGCCATGCGTTCATCATGTGCCGCCATGCGTTCATCATGTGCCGCCATGCGTTCATCATGTGCCGCCATGCGTTCATCATGTGCCGCCATGCGTTCATCATGTGCCGCCATGCGTTCATCATGTGCCGCCATGCGTTCATCATGTGCCGCCATGCGTTCATCATGTGCCGCCATGCGTTCATCATGTGCCGCCATGCGTTCATCATGTGCCGCCATGCGTTCATCATGTGCCGCCATGCGTTCATCATGTGCCGCCATGCGTTCATCATGTGCCGCCATGCGTTCATCATGTGCCGCCATGCGTTCATCATGTGCCGCCATGCGTTCATCATGTGCCGCCATGCGTTCATCATGTGCCGCCATGCGTTCATCATGTGCCGCCATGCGTTCATCATGTGCCGCCATGCGTTCATCATGTGCCGCCATGCGTTCATCATGTGCCGCCATGCGTTCATCATGTGCCGCCATGCGTTCATCATGTGCCGCCATGCGTTCATCATGTGCCGCCATGCGTTCATCATGTGCCGCCATGCGTTCATCATGTGCCGCCATGCGTTCATCATGTGCCGCCATGCGTTCATCATGTGCCGCCATGCGTTCATCATGTGCCGCCATGCGTTCATCATGTGCGCCATGCGTTCATCATGTGCCGCCATGCGTTCATCATGTGCCGCCATGCGTTCATCATGTGCCGCCATGCGTTCATCATGTGCCGCCATGCGTTCATCATGTGCCGCCATGCGTTCATCATGTGCCGCCATGCGTTCATCATGTGCCGCCATGCGTTCATCATGTGCCGCCATGCGTTCATCATGTGCCGCCATGCGTTCATCATGTGCCGCCATGCGTTCATCATGTGCCGCCATGCGTTCATCATGTGCCGCCATGCGTTCATCATGTGCCGCCATGCGTTCATCATGTGCCGCCATGCGTTCATCATGTGCCGCCATGCGTTCATCATGTGCCGCCATGCGTTCATCATGTGCCGCCATGCGTTCATCATGTGCCGCCATGCGTTCATCATGTGCCGCCATGCGTTCATCATGTGCCGCCATGCGTTCATCATGTGCCGCCATGCGTTCATCATGTGCCGCCATGCGTTCATCATGTGCCGCCATGCGTTCATCATGTGCCGCCATGCGTTCATCATGTGCCGCCATGCGTTCATCATGTGCCGCCATGCGTTCATCATGTGCCGCCATGCGTTCATCATGTGCCGCCATGCGTTCATCATGTGCCGCCATGCGTTCATCATGTGCCGCCATGCGTTCATCATGTGCCGCCATGCGTTCATCATGTGCCGCCATGCGTTCATCATGTGCCGCCATGCGTTCATCATGTGCCGCCATGCGTTCATCATGTGCCGCCATGCGTTCATCATGTGCCGCCATGCGTTCATCATGTGCCGCCATGCGTTCATCATGTGCCGCCATGCGTTCATCATGTGCCGCCATGCGTTCATCATGTGCCGCCATGCGTTCATCATGTGCCGCCATGCGTTCATCATGTGCCGCCATGCGTTCATCATGTGCCGCCATGCGTTCATCATGTGCCGCCATGCGTTCATCATGTGCCGCCATGCGTTCATCATGTGCCGCCATGCGTTCATCATGTGCCGCCATGCGTTCATCATGTGCCGCCATGCGTTCATCATGTGCCGCCATGCGTTCATCATGTGCCGCCATGCGTTCATCATGTGCCGCCATGCGTTCATCATGTGCCGCCATGCGTTCATCATGTGCCGCCATGCGTTCATCATGTGCCGCCATGCGTTCATCATGTGCCGCCATGCGTTCATCATGTGCCGCCATGCGTTCATCATGTGCCGCCATGCGTTCATCATGTGCCGCCATGCGTTCATCATGTGCCGCCATGCGTTCATCATGTGCCGCCATGCGTTCATCATGTGCCGCCATGCGTTCATCATGTGCCGCCATGCGTTCATCATGTGCCGCCATGCGTTCATCATGTGCCGCCATGCGTTCATCATGTGCCGCCATGCGTTCATCATGTGCCGCCATGCGTTCATCATGTGCCGCCATGCGTTCATCATGTGCCGCCATGCGTTCATCATGTGCCGCCATGCGTTCATCATGTGCCGCCATGCGTTCATCATGTGCCGCCATGCGTTCATCATGTGCCGCCATGCGTTCATCATGTGCCGCCATGCGTTCATCATGTGCCGCCATGCGTTCATCATGTGCCGCCATGCGTTCATCATGTGCCGCCATGCGTTCATCATGTGCCGCCATGCGTTCATCATGTGCCGCCATGCGTTCATCATGTGCCGCCATGCGTTCATCATGTGCCGCCATGCGTTCATCATGTGCCGCCATGCATGCATGCCATCCGCTTTACTACTACAGGGACTTGAGTCGGAACAGACTGATAGGTAGCATCCCCCAGAGCATTCACGGATGCAACGCTGCCACACGCCTGTGAGTGAAACTCATTCCAGGGTGTGGTGTGGTGTGGGGATGGGTGCAATGAGGTGAGTGAGAACTCGTGCATGAATGACGATCGAGCATCAGTGAGTGGGGCGTTTGGGTGCATGGGTGGCTGGGTGCATGGGTGGCTGGGTGCAGATGAGGCTTGAGGAATCATCTGCTTGAAGCATCTATGCAAAAATATTTTTATTGTTATTTTACTAACATGATTCTCAACTTAACAAAGCCTCCAGACTTCAATCCATACCATTGCCCACTCAGAAGATTCACTTCACATACTCCCCTTTCCTGTGTGCTAAACAATCGCAGGAGTCTTGCCTTCAACTCTCTCACTGGCAGCATCCCAGCGTCCATTGGATCAATGAGGAGCCTGCAAGCACTGTGAGTGAGCAAGCATTGCCTTCTCCAGATTCAAGTGCCTTCTCATGCTGTCTTATCATCCAACACACTTGTGCTTCTCATCAAGATAGGTTGGTCCCCTATCTATCTTCAGTGACCTCCAGAACGAACCAACTGTCTGACTCCATACTGCAAGAAACCGGGCAAGCCACCACCGAAACCCAAGTGCCTTATCATCCAGCGCACTCCTGCCTCATGTCATGCTGCCCCCCTATCTTCAGTGACCTCCAGAACGAACCAACTGTCTGACTCCATACTGCAAGAAATCGGGCAAGCCAGACAGACAGTTGGGCAAGCCACCACCGAAACCTGATTTCTTGGCAGTATGGAGCACCACACCACCCAAGTGTCTATCCTGCTGCTGCTCCAACTCTCTTGAGGCGCCTCAAAAACCCAAGTGTCTATCCTGCTGCTGCTCCAACTCTCTTGAGACGCCTCAAAAACCCAAGTGTCTATCCTGCTGCTGCTCCAACTCTCTTGAGGCGCCTCAAAAACCCAAGTGTCTATCCTGCTGCTGCTCCAACTCTCTTGAGGCGCCTCAAAAACCCAAGTGTCTATCCTGCTGCTGCTCCAACTCTCTTGAGGCGCCTCAAAAACCCAAGTGTCTATCCTGCTGCTGCTCCAACTCTCTTGAGGCGCCTCAAAAACCCAAGTGTCTATCCTGCTGCTGCTCCAACTCTCTTGAGGCGCCTCTAAAACCCAATTGTCTATCCTGCTGCTGCTCCAACTCTCTTGAGGCGCCTCTAAAACCCAAGTGTCTATCCTGCTGCTGCTCCAACTCTCTTGAGGCGCCTCAAAAACCCAAGTGTCTATCCTGCTGCTGCTCCAACTCTCTTGAGGCGCCTCTAAAACCCAATTGTCTATCCTGCTGCTGCTCCAACTCTCTTGAGGCGCCTCTAAAACCCAAGTGTCTATCCTGCTGCTGCTCCAACTCTCTTGAGGCGCCTCAAAATCCCAAGTGTCTATCCTGCTGCTGCTCCAACTCTCCCTTGCTTCCCGTGATGCTGCTCCCCTCCCCTACCTCCAGTGATCTTCAGAGCAACCAACTGTCAGGATCCATACCGCAAGAGATTGGGCAGGCCACCACACTCACTCTCTTGTAATGCCCCTTCACCTCACCCGCTCTCGCTTGTGTCACATTTCTCTTAATGCTTCTGCATGCTGACACCTCCTTATCTGACTGCCTGTCTGCCTGATTGCTTGATTACTTGATTGCTTGTTTGCTTGCTTGCTTGTTTGCTTGATTGCTTGTTTGCTTGTTTGCTTGATTGCTTGATTGCTTGTTTGCTTGTTTGCTTGTTTGCTTGATTGCTTGTTTGCTTGTTTGCTTTTTTGCTTGATTGCTTGATTGCTTGTTTGCTTGTTTGCTTGATTGCTTGATTGCTTGTTTGCTTGTTTGCTTGATTGCTTGTTTGCTTGATTGCTTGTTTGCTTGTTTGCTTGTTTGCTTGTTTGCTTGATTGCTTGTTTGCTTGTTTGCTTGATTGCTTGTTTGCTTGTTTGCTTGTTTGCTTGATTGCTTGTTTGCTTGTTTGCTTGATTGCTTGTTTGCTTGTTTGCTTGTTTGCTTGTTTGCTTGTTTGCTTGATTGCTTGTTTGCTTGTTTGCTTGTTTGCTTGTTTGCTTGATTGCTTGATTGCTTGTTTGCTTGATTGCTTGTTTGCTTGTTTGCTTGTTTGCTTGATTGCTTGATTGCTTGTTTGCTTGTTTGCTTGTTTGCTTGTTTGCTTGTTTGCTTCGATGCTTACTGCCCAATATCTGCCTGGTTCCAGGTCTCTTGACAGCAATCTCCTCTCTGGGTTTTCTTGAGGCGCCTCAAAACATGAGACGACTTTTGAGGCGACTTTTGAGGCGCCTCAAAAATGCTTACTGCCCAATATCTGCCTGGTTCCAGGTCCCTTGACAGAAATCTCCTTTCTGGGCCAATCACACCGTCGCTCGGCAAGCTGTCTCTGCTTCGTAACTTGTGAGTCTCTCAGCGCACCGCATTCCACCGCACAACGTCTGCATGTACCACCTTGAATTTGCGTCTGCATTTTGTTTAGATGCATTCCACTCAGTGTGCTGCGTGTGTATCGCGTTGAACCTCAATGAACCGCATCAAACCGAGTTACACCACGCCATCCTGCTTCGTCTGATGTCCATCCATATGCACCCATGGTGCGTGCATGGAGAAACCCGTGCTTAGTTTGCTATGTTCCGCTGACTTAATGCATGCTTCTTTCACCTTTATGAGTTTTTCATACTGAATGTATAAATAATATTTATATATTGAATTATGTCTTTACCTGCCCCACTTCCCTTTGGCAGGACTCTCTCCAACAACCGCCTAGATGGCCCCATCCCAGAGTCCCTTCAATATCTGCCCCTCCTTGCTCACCTGTATGAACTCCCATCTTTACTCTCTTCTACACAAGCTCAGTCTTGAGACGTCTCAGTCCAACGTCCACTCTACCAGTACTACGAGTCTTAGCACGGGGATCAACGGGTATTTTTGCCGTATTCTAATCAATTCAGAAAATTCGCGTGAGCGTACTTTGTTCTCAAGTCATATCAACCCTGTCATCACCCTCTCTTCCCCACTTATTCCACCCAACCAGTGACACAAGCCATAACACTGGGATCAACGGGTCCCTACCAGGATCCCTGGCTGTCTTGACCACACTCCAGACACTGTACGTTCCCTCTCTCTCTCTCTTCTTGCTTCTCACCTGGCCACACATGTGACTCGCATGCTCCCTCTCTGTCTGCGTGTGAACTGTCTTCTGTGTGTCCCTCCCTTAAACTTACCCCGCTGGTTCCCTCCTCTTCTCCCCCCATCAGGTCCCTCCAGAATTGCTTCCTCTCTGGCTCACTCCCCTTCCTCACCCTCCAAGCCTCCCCCCCCCTGCAGTGAGCCGATGTTTTATGTGCCTCAAAAATCGTCCATCTCTCCCCCATCCCCCCCCTTTCCCCCATCAGGTCCCTCCAGTACTGCTCTCTCTCCGGATCCCTCCCTCCCTCCCTCACCCTCCTCCCCCTCCTCTCCTCCCTCCACCTCTCCCACAACCTCCTCTCAGGCCCTCTCCCACCCCTCCTCTCCTCCCTCTCCGCCCTCTCCACCCTCCACCTCTCACACAACCTCTTCTCGGGTGTAATCCCCGATCCAATCTGTGACATGCCGATGGTTGCTGACCTGGATCTCTCAGCCAATCAGCTGCAAGGGACCATTCCTCCCTGTCTTGTGGAAATGCCCACGCTCCAGATTCTGTAAGTGCGGTGCGCCGAACCTGGTGTGCCGAACCTGGTGTGCCGAGTCTGGTGCCCCGAGCCTAATGTACCGTGCCTGGTGCGCTGAGCCTGGTGCCCATGCTCCGGATTCTGCAAGTCTAACAACTGTTGAGTTGAGACTGTGCCTGGTGCGCTGGGCCTAATGGGGTGACTTTTGAGTCGACTCAAAAGTCGCCTCGAGACTGTGCCTGGTGCACTGGGCCTAATGGGCACCAGGCACGGTACTTGAGAGTCAGTACCGTGCTCTCAAGTACCGTGCTCTCAAGTACCGTGCAAGTACCCGTACTTGAGAGTCCCCCCTGGCAAGTCCTGTCCCATGTGGCACGTCAAGAGAGGAGGCTGTGAGTTCTGTCCTTACTTGCCTTGCATCGCGTCCCATCCCATCACTCTTTTTATCCATCCCACCTCACTCCACCACTGCCACTACCACTCCTCTCCTCTCCTCTCCTCTCCTCTCCTCTCCTCTCCTCTCCTCTCCTCTCCTCTCCTCTCCTCTCCTCTCTTCTCCTCTCCCCTCCTCAACAGGTCAGTCGCATTCAACAACCTGTCAGGGCATGTTCCAGAATTACCCGACGGCAACGAGCTACAGTTCATGTACGTCCTTGGCTACAATTCATGGACACCCTTTTTTTATGGGCTACAATTCGTGTACACCTCTTCGTCTGATTTATCTGGCTACAGTTCGTACACACCTCCTTCTTCATGGGCTACTCCCCCTTTTTTTTTCCACAGCCATGGTACACTGACTATTTGTCCCCCTCCCTTCCCGCCCACTCACCGCTACAACCACAACTGTGTGGAGTCCAGACTCTGTTTTTGAGTTGACTCAAAAAATGGTGAGTCCAGACTCTGTTTTTGAGTTGACTCAAAAATTGGTGAGTCCAGACTCTGTTTTTTAGTTGACTCAAAAATTGGTGAGTCCAGACTCTGTTTTTGAGTTGACTCAAAAATTGGTGAGTCCAGACTCTGTTTTTTAGTTGACTCAAAAATTGGTGAGTCCAGACTCTGTTTTTGAGTTGACTCAAAAATTGGTGAGTCCAGACTCTGGACAACACGTGTGAGCAGACATGCGCGACCGGTCTTTATGCTGCCGCCCAGTCTGTATAAGCAACCCTCTCCCCGCCTTCTCCTCCCCCTCCCACCCCCTGGCTACGGCCACAACTGTCGGGACAACACGCCTCAGCAAGCATGCACTGCAGGCCTCCATGCCACCCCCTGGTTTCTCATCCAGCCAAACAATCCTCTCCTCTCTCCCCCCCCTTTCCTTCCCCGCCCCCCAGCTACTACCACAACTGTCGGGACAATGCGCCTCAGCAAGCATGCGCTGCAGGCCTCCATGCCACCCCCTGGTTACTCATCCAGCCAAACAACCCTCTCCTCTCTCCCCCCCCTCTCCTTCCCCCCCTCCCAGCTACGGCCACAACTGTCTCGACAACACGCCTGAGCAAGCATGCACTGCAGGCCTCCATGCCACCCCTTCAGCAACAACTGATCACTCCACCAGCCAAGCAACCGTCTCCTCTCTCCCTCTTCCCCCCTACAGATACAACCACAACTGTCTGGACGACGCGCCTGAGCAGGCATGCGCTGCAGGCCTCCATGCCACCCCTTATGTGCCTCCCACGTCTGCTCCCAGCAGCAACAGTAGCACCAGCGACACCAGCAGCAACACCTGTACGTACGCCATGCATGTAAAAGGCTAAAAGCACATGTACCATCATGCTGCCACCCCTATGTGCCTTCTACCTCTGCTCCCAGCAGCAGCAGCAGCAGCAGCAGCAGCAGCAGCAGCAGCAGCAGCAGCAGCAGCAGCAGCAGCAGCAGCAGCAGCAGCAGCACGTGTACATATGCCATGCATGTAAAAGCACCTGTACCTGTATGTACCTTCATGTTGCCATCCCTTATGTGCTAGTTGCCGGTGTTGTGCTCTTCTCCATCTCTTTGATCCTCCTCCACTCCCCTTTCCTCCCTTCCACCACCAGCGTCCATACCACCTTTGGCATACGTGCTCCTAGCGCTGCTCGATGTCACAGTGGCCTGTGCTGTCCTCTTGTGCCTCTCTTCAAACCTCTCCTCCTCTTTCTTCCATTACACCACTCTCCTCCCTTCCACCCACCAGCGTCCATCCCACCACTGGCGTACGTGCTCCTAGCGCTGCTCATCGTCACAGTGATATGTGTTGTGCTCTTCTCCCTCTTTCCAATCCTCCTCCCTTCGTTCCTTTCTCCTCCTCCCTTCCACCCACCAGCGTCCATACCACCTTTGGCATACGTGCTCCTAGCACTTCTCATCGTCACGGTGGTCTGTGTCGTGCTCTTCTCCTTTCCAATCCTCCTCCCTTCTTTCCTTTCTCCTCCTCCCCTCCACCCACCAGCGTCCATACCACCTCTGGCATATGTCCTGCTAGCGCTTCTAATCGTCACGGTGGTGTGTGTTGTGCTCTTTGGCCTCTTTGGCACCGTGCATCACATCAAAGTGAAAGCCAGCAAGAAGAAACAGATGAGTGAGTTAACAGGCAATGGGTGCTCTTTGTGCTGCAATGTTGTTGCCGATAATCCTCTCTTCTCCCTCTTCAGCCTCTTTGGCACCATGCATCGCATTAAAGTGAAAGCCAGCAAGAAGAAGCAGATGAGTGAGTGGATGGGTGCTTGGATCGCATGTGCCTCTGTGCATGTGTGGGGGCTGCATCACATTGCATTGTATTGCATCACATTGCATTGTATTGCATCACATTACATTGTATTGCATCACATTGCATTGTATTGCATCACATTGCATTGTATTGCATCACATTGCATTGTATTGCATCACATTGCATTGTATTCCATCACATTGCATTGTATTGCATCACATTACATTGTATTGCATCACATTGCATTGTATTGCATCACATTGCATTGTATTGCATCACATTGCATTTTATTGCATCACATTGCATTGTATTGCATCACATTGCATTGTATTGCATCACATTGCATTGTATTGCATCACATTGCATTGTATTGCATCACATTGCATTGTATTGCATCACACACTCTGAAAGCTCGTCTGCCTGAGTTCTCAGAGTCACCTCTGTGCACTGCAAATATGGGGATGCAAGAGTTTTTTTAAGCGCCTTAGGAATCTGCCTGAGTTCTAGAAGATCTTCTGACATAGTTCCAGTGAGCAACGATGCTTAGGAGACGGTTTAAGCACGTAGGAAAGACTGTAAAAACTAAGCACTAGCAAACACTAGAAATCTGCCTGAGTTCCCAGAGTTACCATTGAGGATGGAAGTGGTCACATGCTGCTGGTGTACATACCTATTCCGCCATTCACCATCCCCCTTTGTACATTGCCTTCTCTTCCCCATCAACCCTTCTGCCCGAGTTTTCAGTGTCATTCCTTCATGCCGTCTCAACCAGTTGTCAGGATGTTTTTACGTCTCCCCTCCTGTCCCCACCTACCAGCCCATCTGGTAGAGTTGTCGGTGTCACGCCTCCGTGCCGCAACCCGAGGCTTCTCTACAGAGCACGGTAGAGGGAGCTCCCCTCCTCCCCATCAGCACCTCCCCCCCTTTCCTTCCCCCCTCCCGTCCCCACCCACCAGCCCACCTGCCAGAGTTCTCGGTGTCACGCCTTCGTGCCGCAACCAGGGGCTTTTCCTCGGAGCACGGAAGAGGGAGCTTCGGGACTGCTTATATCGCGTACGACCTCTTTCCAGAGGCCAGCGGAGGAGTGGAAGGAGGAAGGGGGCAGGGAGCAGCGCATGGGCATGGGCATGGGCATGGGTACATGCAGGCGAATTCGCATCCCATGCCGCCTGCTGTTTCCAACCCGGAGAGACACGGGTTGTTGAAACGAGCTCGCGACCCTGACAGTGAGTGTTTTTGCCCTCTATATCTCCCTGCGTATGCCCATGCTTTGTTGTAAATCCGTTCCATTTTGCCTTCATGCCCCCCCCATTTTTCTGCCCTGACCTGTTTCCCTTGCATCCCACTTTCTCAGCCACTTTCTTTACCTTACAGTCACCTTCCCCTTAACATTCTCTTTCCCCCCTCCCCACTCCCGTTGGTATCATCCCGTTGCTCCTTCCATGCACCTTCTCTCCGCTCCCCACTGTACCTTCCTGCAGGCTTCTCGGAATCTGCCTTCTGTCAGAAGGTGGCACTGCTAGCAGCAGCGAGCAACAGCCATCCATGCATGGTGCATGTGAGGGGATTCTGTGCGAATGGGGGGGAGAGGATGGTGGTTCTCGAGATGGTCACAGGGGGCACGCTGCGCCAACGCATGATCCGTGAGTGCCTAAGTCACATAAACATATCTGGTGTCAAAAGGTAGAGCCATGCACGCAGGGGAGGAGAGGATGGTGGTGCTCGAGCTGGTCACAGGAGGGACACTGCGCCAACGCATGATCCGTGAGTGTCCAAATCACACCTCTTGTCTCTAAAGGTAGCAACGGGCATGCATGCATGGTGCATGTGAGGGGGTTCTGTGCGAATGGCGGGGAGAGGATGGTGGTACTGGAGCTAGTCACAGGGGGCACGCTGCGCCAACGCATGATTCGTAAGTGCCTCGTTTACATCAACATTTCTTGCCCTTGTGTCATTAGGTAGTGCTGCTGCTGCCAGTAGCAGCAGTAGCAGCAGCACCAGGCCCCCCTGCATGGTGCTCGAGCTGGTCACAGGGGGCACGCTGCGCCAACGCATGATCCGTGAGTGATTTACAATCTCGCGTGTTGCAACCTAGTGTTGCCATTAGCAAGCAGCACCAGCCGTTCCTGCATCAGCCCTGTTCAAGCTGTTCAGTGGTCACCACAGGGCACCCCACCCCACCCCACTCCAACACTTCATTCACATCCCTCGTGTCAAAAGGTTGTGCTGTATATATGCAGTGGGGACGGTAGACCTAGTTCAACCCAAGGTGTGTGGGCGATTGATTTGACCTTTCCGGACTTTGGCATTTTTGTAGTGACAGCAATCTTGGGAGCAGAGAAGCAGTGCTTTCAATCTGAAGTCTCTTCTCGTACCCTATCTTTTCATTTCCTGCCCAAATCTTGGTAGGAGGTGACCTGGACGCGCTGACGTGGCAGGAGAGGGTGCAAGTGGCGGTGGACGTGGCGTCTGCGCTGTATCACCTTCACTACAATCACACGCCACCCTTTGTGCACCGCGCTGTGACGTCTTCGAATGTGCTTCTAACCGAAGACATGACAGCAAAGGTACTGCTCGCCTGTTGTTTTGGTTGTGGGCCATGTTTGTGATACATCTCGTCTCAGCTACAGTGGTTTCTTCTGGGGCGTTTAGTTCTTAAGTGGCTGGTGATGCATGGTTGTCAGACGTTTCCCATCCACAACCCCTGTCACTCCCATGCTTCCCCCCCTGGCCCCTTCCCCCTCCCCTTCCACCCCCCAATCCCCACCCACTTCCCTGCCTGACCCTCCCTGCCAGCTGTCAGACCTAGGTTTGGCCCGAGGCAGCTCTGATGCTTCGGGGTTTCGTCCGTTGCAATCGTCTCTTGGAGTGGCTACCACTGCAGACGTGCTGGCTTATGGGGTGCTGCTGCTGGAGCTTATAACGGGGCAGACTGCAGATGGAACGACACAGATCGTCGCTACAGTGAGTATCCCGTAGTTTGCGTTGATTGGCCTATAATGCAGTGATTGGCTTATGGGGTGTTGCTGCTGGAGCTTATAACGGGGCAGACTGCAGATGGCACAACACAGATCGTTGCTACAGTGAGTGTGCTTTTATTTGTCATTTGTTTTGTATTGAGTTGGCTTTTAAAGGAAAGGTTGGCCTATGGGGTGCTGCTGCTGGAGCTTATAACGGGGCAGACTGCACTGCAGATGGCACAACACATATGCTCCCTGAGTACACTCCTCCGATTCTCTCTCCCACCCCTTCCACACTATGTTTTCAGGCGGCCAGCTGAGAGGAGATTAGCCTTCGATATTAGCAGCGATCCAACAGTTTCTTCAGGCACTCTCCTTCTTCCTCTCCCTTCCCTCCTTCCCCTGCTGCCCCTTACCTTCCCCTGCTGCCCCTTACCTTCCCCTGCTGCCCCTTACCTTCCCCTGCAGTCGGCACCATTCCTGGACGATCCACAGATGATGCCTTTGATGGCGGACGCTCAGCTGGGTGGGCACACTTGCAGATGATGCCTATGACGCCTCCCTTGGCTCTCCCTCACCTGCGTGCTCTGCTTGCTCTCCTCCCTTGCCCCTCTGCCGCTCAACCAGTCAGCACCATTCCTGGACGATCCACAGATGATGCCTCTAATTGCAGATGCTCAGCTGGGAGGGGAGTAGCGCTCAAGCATAAATCACAAGCTCTTCCTCCTCTACTGATCTGTTGTCTTTCACCCGTTGACCCTTTGACCCTTGACCCTGTGAACAGTCAGCACCATTCCTGGACGATCCACAGATGATGCCTTCGATGGCAGACGCTCACCTGGGAAGGGGTAGCTTTCAGCCATCACTGCCACGTGCTCATCCTCCTCTGCTGCTTTTCTTTCTCTGTACTTTGACCCTTTCCCCTCTTCACCAGTCGGCACCATTCCTAGACGATCCACAGATGATGCCTCTCATGGCAGACGCTCAGCTGGGAGGGCACACTTGCAGATGATGCCTATGACGCCTCCCCTTGCCCTCCCTCACCTGCGTGCTCTGCTTCCTCTCCTCCCTTGCCCCTCTGCCTCTCAAACAGTCGGCCCCATTCCTGGATGATCCACAGATGATGCCTCTCATGGCAGATGCTCAGCTGGGAGGGCACTTTGACCGGCCACAACTGGAGGTGCTGGCGTCGCTGGCACGCGCATGCGTACTGGTGAGACCTCCTGCTTTGCATTGGTGTGGTTTGAGTCGATTCAAAAGATGGCAATTCCCTCACTGGGAGGGCACTTTGACCGGCCGCAGCTGGAGGTGCTGGCGTCGCTGGCACGCGCATGTGTGCTGGTGAGACCTCTTGTCTTGCATGTGTCTCTTGGTGCCTCACACCACATCCCTCACTGGGAGGGCACTTTGACCGACCACAGCTGGAGGTGCTGGCACGCGCATGTGTGCTGGTGAGACATTTCAAGGGCATGGCATGTGTACGTGCTTGGCATGTGTCTCTAGATGCCTCCATACCCTCATCCCCTTTTTGTGAGGACACTTTGACCGGCCGCAACTGGAGGTGCTGCCATCGCTGGCACTCGCGTGTGTACTGGTGAGACATCTGAGGGCATGGCATGTGTATCTAGAATCTAGATGCCTCTATGCCATCTTCCCCCCACTGGGAGGGCACTTTGACCGCCCGCAGCTGGAGGTGCTGGCATTGCTGGCGCGCGCATTTGTACTGGTGAGGTGTTTGAGGCATCTCAAAGAGTGCTGCTGGCTCGGGCATGTGTGCATGCATGCACACATGTCCCCATGTCTGCTTGTCCCCATGTTCCCATGTCTGCCGGTCCGCACATGAGCATACCACCAATCCCTGTAACTCATGCCCCATGTCGGCATGTTCCCATGTCCGCATGTTCCCATGTCCGCATGTCACCATGTCGGCATGCTCCCATGTCTGCATGTTCCCACATCGACATTTCCTCATGTCCTCATGTCGACCTATCTCCTCATGCCGTACCACCCATTGTCCCTATGTGGGCACGCAGGACGACGCTGCCGCCCGGCCCACGATGCACGAGATACGGCAGGCCTAT